TTGGATATCAATTCTAGTTAATGAAAAACATCTACAAAAACAACATTCTTCTATTTCAATAACAGACGTTGGTATATTAATTGATGTTAATGAATGACATCCATCAAAACAATAATTTCCTAATCCACTAATAGATGATGGTATATTAATTGATTTTAATGAACATCCATCAAAACATTTATTTCCTAATTTACTAATTGATGATGGAATATTAATTGAATTTAACGATAAACATCCTTGAAAACAACAATTTCCTAATACACTAATTGATGATGGTATATCAATTGATGTTAATGATGAACACCAACTAAAACAACCATAAGGTAATTCACTAATTAGTGATGGTATATTAATTGATTTTAATGATGAACATCCCCAAAAACAACTTTCTCCTATTTTACTAACAGATGATGGTATATTAATTGATGGTAATGATGTACACCATTTAAAACAACAATCAGGTAATTCACTAATTGATGTAGGTATACTAATTGATACCAATGATGTACATTCATCAAAACAATACTCCTCTAATCTAGTAATATGTGTTGGAATATCAAAATCAACAACATTATAACATTTTTGAAAACAATATTTTCCAATTACATTAAACTTTTCAGGTATATAAGTTCCATATTGAATTGGATGTTTTTGAGTAAATACTATTTCCATTGTTATTTATTAGTTATTTTCTTGTTTTTAAATATTATGAATGAAGAATATTTATTATTTCTATTTTATTCTATTCTTATTTTTGTCGTCACATTTTTGTTAATAAAAAGTGGTAATGGAATGTTATTTGTATTTATTTTTATGTCATAATAGGATTTTTATTTTTGTTTTTATTATATTTTTCATTTTAAATATTGTTTTCAATTTAATATTGTCATTCTTCTTTATCGTTTTTCTATATTTACGAATGATGTTTATTTTAATTATATTCTTTCATGTCAACGACTATTTTTATTTAAATCAATTATATTTTATTTTTATTTTTATTCTTCATTCTTTTATATTACCCCTCTCTTATTTTTTCTTATTTTTGTTACTATTCATTTATTTATTTTACATTATTTATGTTTATTTTTATTTATTGAATTTATAATGATTTATTTATATGAAAACAAATAATTGATTAATGTATTAATTTATCTATTGTTCATATTCAGTTAATTATTTTAAAAGAAATAAAGTGATTAAATTATATTAATATTAGTGTTGATCATATTTCTATTACAATTATTTGATATCATTTAACATTATATCATTCTCTCTTTTTATTTTAAATCAAATGAAATAAATGAAAAATACATTATTTCATTCTTTGATATTTCCATTTTAATTTCATTATATTTTATCATCTTTTTATTTGTATTGTTTATGGTGTGTGTGAATGATTATAAATTATGTAATTATTTATTCTTTAACTAATTATTCATTCTTATTGTTATTCTATGGTATTTCTCTATTATCTCATTCTTATTTCTAATTTCTCTTTTATATTTTATCAAATGATAAATTAGAAATATTTATAAAATAAAATTACATATTTATATTTACCCCCTTTTAATTTGTTTGTTGTTATTGTTAAAATTGTATGAAATGTTTTATAATTAAATATTCATTTTTTAATTTAAATTCAATTTTCTCTATATCACATTTAAGTATGTTAATTAATTATTTCTTTATTTGTATTTAATAAATTGAATGATAATAATTTCTTGAAATAATTAATTTCAATATATTGATATGTTGTTTTATCATTGTTATTTATTTATATTTATTTAATTATTTTTTATTTATGATTATTTATTTATATTTATTTGATTATTTATTATTCATTTTATCATTTATTTGTTATTAATGAATGAATAAAACATTATGAATAAATTAATAAAATAAATATTATTAATCA